CAATGGATCTTGGCTGAAAGCAGAGAATATCAGAAAGATGTTTACCTATGCTTTATTGACTACGCAAAGGCTTTCGACTGTGTGGATCATGAAAAGCTATGGACAACATTGCAAAGTATGAGTATTCCAGAACACTTAATTGTACTTCTGAGGAATCTGTACCTGGACCAAGAAGTAGTTGTTCGAACAGAGCATGGGGACACTGAATCTTTTAAAATTAAGAAAGGTGTGCGACAAGGTAGTATACCTTCACCATTCTTATCCAACCTGTATGCTGAGCAAATAATACAAGAAGCTAGGTTCTATGACGAAAAACAAGGCATCAGGATTGGAGAAAGACTCATTAACAACCTGTGATATGCAGATGATACAACTTTGATTGCTGAAAGTGAAGAGGACTTAAAACATTTACTGATGAAGAACAAAGAGCACAGCCTTCGGTATGGATTGCATCTCAAATGTCAGGAAAATAAAAATCCTCACCACTGGACCAATAAACTACATTCTTATCAATGGAGAAAAGATTGAAGTTGTCAAGGACTTATTCTTCTTGGATCAACTATCAACCCACGTTGAAGCAGCAGTCAAGAGATCAGACAACATACTGCATTAGGCAAATCTGCTGCACATGAACTTTTTAAAGTGTTGAAGAGCAAAGATGTCAGGTGCACCTGACTCAACCCATGGTATTTTCAATAATCTCACATGGATGTGAAAACTGGAAAGAGAATAAGGAAGATCGTAGAAGAATTGATGCCTTTGAATTGTGGTGTTGGAGGAGAATAGTAAAAGTGCCATGGGCTGCCCAAAGAACCAATAGACCTGTTTTGGAAGAAGTACAGCCAGAGTGCTCCTTTGAGGCCAAGATGGCTAAACTTCATCTCTCATACTTTGGACATATTGTCAGGAGGGAACAGTCGCTGTAGAAGGATATCATGCTTGGTAAGATGGAGGGTCAGAGAAAAAGAGGAAGACTCCCAACGAGATGAACTGGCTAGGTAGAATCATTGATGGCGTCAAGTGTGGCAGCGGTAGTGAGGTTGGCCCAGGATGAAACATTGTTTTGTTCTGCTGTACGTGGGGGCGCTATGAGTCGGTTCCAACTCGATGGTACCTGATAACAACAACAACAACTTATAAAAGTATATATGTATCATGGGAGTATAGGTGGAAGCCCGAACCACAACCAGACCTTCGAGTCGGGAAATTTCTCCACTTGAAAGGACAAGCAGACCAGCTGGGAGCAGCTAGAAAACTAGAAGATACCTCTTGAAAGAAGGACCTAAAGGAAAAATACAAAGCAATAAGGGCAGTCCGACTGTTACCACAAAAAACATACAGGTGGCCTGCCCAGGAGACATCAAGGCAAGTGATCGGATCCTCTCAGTGCAAATTCTCTTCCAAGACTAAGACGCAAGGGAAATATACACTTCGACTGACAACCATGCACGTCACCCAGAAGGGGAAGTGGCCAAAGAACATCAACAAAGGGGCAAGCTAAGCCCTACACTGTTTAGCAAACTACTGTGAACCCGGACAGAGACCTGGTCGGCCAGTAGTGAGGCAACATGTGGGGACTCATGGGCTCAGGGTCAGTGACACAGCCACAGAGGTCTAGAGTGGAGAGCGGGGCGGCCAGCCGATAAAAAGAGGCCGAACAGGCGTAAGAACACCCACACTTGCAGACGATGCCCATTTGACTGGACTTCAATGACTGGATAAACACAGCTCAACCCTAAGAAGAAAGAAGAGGGAAAAAAGCGTCATCTGATACAATTCGATAAACATGACCTACACCTATAAATGCAGTAGCTCAAAAGAGGAAACA